TTATTTGTCAAGGCCCTCTCGCGGATCCGAAGGATAGCTCTGTCAGTACTGCGTTAGAGACTTTGGTGTGCAGTACAATCCACAATGCATTGATTCTTCTCTTACCGCAGGGTCATACTGCCGCTAGTGCAATGGAAGCCTTTCCCCATAATGTGCAACTTATTCAGTTTGCCTTGTTCTACTGGTGTGCCCTTGAGATTTTTCGAAATAACTACACCGTCGTGGTGAATGTGGGATATGACCTTCTTAGCTTGCACGAAAGACGCCCACTCTCGCCGAATCTACACGCCGCCTTATTGTCTTACATAGTGGAGGCGTTGATACACCTGAATGAGCCCGAGCGTGCTCTGAAAGTCCTTCGTCGTTCTTCATTGTCGAGTCTTGTTGTCGGTTCGTCTTTGGAACCCCTTGACAGCCACCAGCAAGGCCGCGTGGAGGCGCTTTTCATCAACCTGGCCATTACGCATATCGCAAATGGTCTGTGGAATCAGGCTTCCTCGGTTGTGGAGTCGCTCTTGGCGAAGGTGTATGAGGGCCGGGCGGCGAAGGAAAAGGAAGGAGCGGGCTCGATTAGCAGCGGCAGTAGCACCGCCAGTAATCAGGGTGTGATTCTTGCGTACCACATGCTAGTCATCTTCCTCGAGTTGGCGCAGGGCAACCAGGAAAAGGCGCATGAGGCGTTGCTGCGCGTTTCGTGGGTTGCCTGAGAGGGAGGAGGGAGTTGTGGGGAGTAGCAGGAAGGGAGAGAAGTGATGTCAATGGGAGTGGGGGCTTCTTCGTATGGGTTGACACGCCATGCAGTGACAGGGGCGGAGGTCGATCAATGAAGACGCAGCGGGAGACAGAGCAGCGAATGAAGGAAAGAAACCTGAAAAGACTGAGAGAATATGGAGGACAGCAACAAGAAAAGAATCATACGGTGACCTTTACGAGTACACGGCAAGGAAGGAGAGAGAACGAAAGAAAGGAGGAAAAAAAAAAAAAAAAGAGAACGATGGGGAATTGGAAAAAAAGAAAAAAAAAAAAGAAAAAAGGAGGATATGGGAAAAATAAGAACACACACGCAAATCCCATTGAGGAGCTCTTGCTGTGGGATGAGTATCGTCAACAGGAAAGAGATATCTTAGTTGCAGGCTGCGCAGATATATATATACATGCGTGTGTATGTGTCTTTTTGCTGCTGCACACGTCCCACCACTGCCTCAATTGCACCCAAAATAAACTGACGAGGGAAACAACAAAAACAGAAATAAAATAAAAAGAAAACAAAAGAAAGCGCGATGAGATGGATCGAACAAAAAACAGAAAGAGGGAAAGAAAGAAAGGGCGGAACTGGGAAGTGACATTCTCAGGCATCGTTGGTTCTTTTTTTCTTACTTAAAAATTCTTTTTTTTTTTTTTTGTTTGTTTACCCAAGACAGCATGGGTAAAGTACATGAAACTAATTGTGATCCCAAAAGAGGTAATATGCTGCATCCTTTTGTCTCTTTTTCCATTGGCATATCTTTTTTATAAAATAAATACAAACAACACCGTTGTTTTTTTTTTCTTTTCTTTTGTACACGCACGCATGCAAACACGGACGCAATTGCATGCTCACATTGAAATTGTGTGTTCAATGCAAATACATGAAGGTATTTTTTGAAGAGTGGTGCCTGGCGAAGTAGAGGCAGGTTTAAGGCCTATATCGTGTTGATCTTAGGGTTTGTCACATCGTAGATGCTTTTTCGCCGTTTCTTGGGGCGCAGAGCCCTTGCTAGTTTTGTTGGGGTTCCTGTTCTTTCGCTTGGCGGACTCGGTATTTACGTGGAGTATCGTAAGAGTATACGGCCTTCTATTTCGGTCTCGTATCCGGTGTTTGATGAACATGGCTCAATTTTTTTTGATGGAAAACTTGTCGAGAGACCAGGGCTGCTTCCAATTGCAGGTCGTACGGTGGAACTATTTTTGCTTTTTTTCCCGCTGGCACTTCTTTATGTTGTGATGCGGATTCGAAAAGGGTGGTACCTTCGGTGGTTGGAACTGCTTTTGCGTGCAGTAAAACGCGCCGGTCCAGCCTTTGTGAAGGCCGGTCAGTGGAGCTGCACTCGACACGACATTTTTTCTCCCGAGTTCCGTTCTGTATTTAGACGACTGTACAACGAGGTGGACGTGCATCCATACAGTGTGTCACTGCAGGTACTCCGTGAGGAATTTCAAAAGGAACCATTGGAATTATTTTCTCACATTGAGGCGACACCAGTGGGCTCGGGCTCGATAGGGCAGGTGCACCTCGCCACGTTGCGTGAGACCGGGGAGAAAGTTGTTGTTAAAGTGATGCACCCCAATATTGTGGAAACTATTTTGAAAGATTTCTG